ATGAACAAACGAACAAATTAATGAACGAACAAAACTTCTTTAGTAAGCACAAATGGAACATCCCATAGAATAGTTGGAATAAATAAATAAAAGAAATTAATAATAAACAAAATCAAACAATAAATAAATAGTTTATCAATACCTTAAATACCTTTAAACTAACATTTGGTGGCAAACTAGTTACAGTAACACCTAAAGAGACTAAAACTGCAAGTCAGTTGCCCATTCTGGAGAATAAACAACCCTTTTTTTTTTTTTTTTTTGAAGTAAACAATATTTAACTTGATTCCTGGGGTGAACAAACAAATTTTAAAAAGGTAAATCACCACCTTTCACTGATACTTTATTTAAAAAACAGACTCTTAAATTGAGTTATTTGGTAGAAAAGTGGCAAAAATGAATCATTCAGAAGAAATTACACTTGTTTTTTCTTTAGGTGTTGCTTTCCGAAAACACCTAATTTTCATCCCAGTAGTCCGAGTTCCACTGAATACCAAAACATATTTAAAGTGGTTGGAGAGTATGATTTCTGTAAGTATCAGCTGATGTGTTTTATGGCTGCACAGTAAATGTCATCGCTGGCTACTACAGCCCACTGTCTGGAAGCAGAGCTGCTCGTGCACACACCGCACCAGCTTCACTGTAATTACCCATCAAAGAGTGGCACCCGGCTAGACGCAGGACACTACAGAAGCTCTTTTCAGGAAGAGCACAACAGCTTCAGAATAGCTCATGAAAGAGCAGAGCAAGTAAGGTGGTTTAGTGCACGTGTTGTCGTGCCAGTATAACATCTTCAATTTAGCGTAATACCCTGGCTTGACTGCTGGCATATTTTTTTCTCTTAGACTGCCCATCACAAAGCTCTTCTGACCATTAGACTCCATTAAAGGAAATTACAAAACATCAAAATGAAAATGGAGCGCACAAATTGAGTTTCCTTAAAGGGGTCATATGATGTTGCTAAAAAGAACATTATTTTGTGTATTTGGTGTAATGAAATGTGTTTATGCTACGCCTTCTTTCTTTGCGTGAACATTTGGGCGGTGTTATGCAAATCTTCCCACACAGTGACGTAGACATGTGGGGGCGTGTCTAAACGAGGCGTTTTAGGAGGGCATGGACGAGTCTTAACTTTTATAAAGAATATCTCTTTGGGTTTGAGACTTTAGTCTTTGCAACTTTAGAGATCTTATCTATTCACGAACAGCTTGTAACACTCCAAAGAGAAAGGAAAACTTGAAATCGCATCATATGACCCCTTTAAAAAAGTTGATCATTCGAGTCAAATGAAGAAAAAGAGGAAGAAAGCTGCAACTCAGAGTTTTGTATTCCTAAATAATGAGAGATATGATTGACCGATGTGTTTGAAGGTCATCTTACCTTTCTGTCTCTTCAGCTGTGGGATACTGCTAATGGTGGTCGCCTGAATGATCTCCACAACTATCTGATACCTGCATAAAGACAAAATGACAGCAGAGTGATGAAATGAAGTATATGGACATACACAAAAGTTATTAAATTTTCTTAAGAAAATCTGAGTGGGGTTTAAACATGCAAAAAAAAAAAGCACTTCAAATGGTTGCTCGAGCATGTTGCTAGAGTTTTTAGCATTTTGCGATGTAATTTTAAATCATATTATTATTATTATTATTAAATTGTAGTGTTACATTTAAATAAATGACTGACTGACTGACTGACTGACTGACTGAATGAATGAATGAATGAATGAATGAATGAATGTTTATTTATCAAGCCAGAAGGCCATCAAAGTCATTTTTTCTTAGGTGTTTCTTTCTTGGTTGGTTGGTTCAATTCAAAAAGGCGTGAGCAATAGAAATTAAGAATTAACCATAAGTGTGAGCAATAGTGATGTTTGACTGGAAAATTAAAACTGGTATTTGTTTCTTTAACTTTCACATGATGGCACCATAAAACAGTACCATAAACATACAACACAATTACTGTATGTAAGCTGATTATATCCGTGCATGTTTTGCTTTTTGTGAAATGACATGAATTTATCCAGTGTTGTTATTTTTAACTAAAACTGAATGAATGAATGAATGAATGAATGAATGAATGAATGTTTATTTATCAAGCCAGAAGGCCATCAGAGTAATTTTTTCTTAGGTGTTTCTTTCTTGGTTGGTTGGTTCAATTCAAAAAGGCGTGAGCAATAGAAATTAAGAATTAACCATAAGTGTGAGCAATAGTGATGTTTGACTGGAAAATTAAAACTGGTATTTGTTTCTTTAACTTTCACATGATGGCACCATAAAACAGTACCATAAACATACAACACAATTACTGTATGTAAGCTGATTATATCCGTGCATGTTTTGCTTTTTGTGAAATGACATGAATTTATCCAGTGTTGTTATTTTTAACTAAAACTATTAAAAAACGTTTTTGGTAACTGAAATAAAGCTGAAATATATGAATATTAGATAAAATCTCAAAAATTGAAAAGGATGCCTTGGCAACGAACTGAAATAAATATGTTGACAACACTTTACAATAAGTTTCTATTAGTTAGAATCCATTAACTAACAATAAGAAATACATGTTACAGTATTTATTAATATTTTTAACGTTAATAAAAATACAACTAATAATTGTTAGTTAATGTAACCTAGTACATTAAATATTAATAGATATAACTTCTGATTTTAATAATTAAATGTTATAATTAACATCAACTAATAAATGTTTTAGAAGTATTTTTATTGTTAGTTCATGTTTACTAATGTGAACAAATGCAGTCATATCGTAAAATGTTACCTAAAAGTTTGTTCACATAGTAAAAATGCTAACATTTAAAGTTAAAGCTATGTAGAAATATAAAAAAACACTATAATAGTAGTATATAAGACATTTATCAAGTGCAGTCTTGTTATAAGCTTTTAAAGGGGTCATATGATGCTGCTAAAAATAACATTTTGTGTATTTGGTGTAATGAAATGTGTTTATGCGGTTTAAGGTTAAAAAAACACATTATTTTCCACATACTGTACATTATTGTTTCTCCTCTATGCCCCGCCTTTTTGAAACGCGTCGATTTTATTTTTGCTTTCACAACGAAAAAGCGTTACACACCGCGGCCTTGAGTGAGCAGAGGCCGGAGGCCTAGCGTATGCGGAGGCCGGCTTGAGTGAGCAGAGGTGGGTGGGCTTGAGAACGGCGCAGCCGGCGGGCTTGGCGCAAATTTGGGCAGTGTTATGCAAACCTTCCCACATAGTGAGGTAGTTATGTGGGGGCGTGTTAGAACGAACCGTTTTAGGTAGGCGTGGTTGACTCTTAACTTTTATAAAGAATATCTCTTTGGATTTGAGACTTTAGTCTTTGCAACTTTACAGATCTTCTTTATTCACCAAGAGCTTGTAACACTCCAAAGAGAAAGGAAAAATTTAAATCGCATCATATGACTCCTTTAAGATCGAGTGTAAACTGATTAACTAAACAGTCTGTATAAAGCCTCACATTATAAATCATCTCAATTTAGTTTGTACCCATACTGTGCACTTTAAACAAAGAAATCTTGAACCAAAGTAAACTGATTAACTAAATATCAAGTCTGCGTAAACAATTCTGTTGGTTAAAAATGATCCTTAAAACGTCGACCAAGAGGCAAGGACATTTTCCTTTAAATTCAGACTGTCTGTAGTATAAAATCACTTCCACTAACACGTCTCAGCTATTGAATAATGAGTTTCATTGAGAAATTCCTCTGAGGAATAATACTCACTCAAAATTAATGAAACAGATCCTTTCGATATTAAGAAATACTGAATATTTATTACACACTTTCTGCTCTCACAGCCCCTGATGAGAGAGGACGTGATTGAGAGTAAGACTGCATGAAATTGCTTCATGAAAGTCAAATACAAGTAATTTGAGAACATTGCCACAAGTAGCTGGTGCCAAATGAGAGTATTATTATTAAGACGATATGGAGGGTGACCTTCAAAAATGACATGTCACAACATGAGAAAGTTTGTGATATTTATGGAAATTTGGGCAAATGTCATGCTGCCTTCAATTAACGTCTGAATTTACGAGATGAACGCAATGCCTTAATTATAAGTGGAAATCTCTGGATTGTGTCAATTAAACAATCATAGTGGACGCAAATTGATAGTGGTTATAGTTAAGTTGAGATTGTGAATATTAAAGGAATAGTTCAGCAAAAAATTTACATTTACTAAAAATATACTCACGCTCAGGCCACCCAAGATGTAGGTGAGTTTGTTTCTTCATGGGAAAAGATTTGGAGAAAGTTTATTTATTACATCACTTGCTCACCAATGGATGCTCCGCAGTGAATGGGTGCCATCAGAATGAGAGTCTCTGAGGGGGGGGAATAAATCTACATCTTGAATGGCCTGAGGGTGCAAATTTAAATTTTAGGTAAACTATTCCTAATAGTTAAGCAATTTAGTTTGTATGTATTTTGTGGTCTGATAAAAAGCCAGTTTATCTGGCAGCAGATTTGCAGACTGAATTAAATGTCCCATCAATCCCAGTAAAAGCATAAGAATCATAAAATACACATATAAAACATCAACGGATAATTCATCCAGAGCTGAACTCTGGCGGAACAAACCTTAAATGACAAATGTCCCCTCCGATACGACCTGATACCGCAAGCTGAAAAGCAACGACAAATGACAGTGCCGACTTCCAGTTCACCTTTTTAAAGAGTGATTTGTCTGAACGAAAGTAGCAGAAATTGCTTTCCAACAGAACTATTTTTAAACATAAATAAATTGGTTTGGATGTGGTGAAATAGCCAAAATCCAGACAGATTTAGTGAGTCATCCGCTAACCCTGACTCAAGATAACACAATAATATTAATCAATAACCTATTAAATCACTGTCAAAAAAGCTGACCGCAGAGCCAGACCAATATTACAGGCATGTTCACATTAGGGTTGTGCCGATAGACGATAGTATCATGTATCGACGATAGCAGATGTCTTTGTCGATAGTCAAGACGATATTAGGCTCATTTTCCTATTAATGTATTAAATAATAATAATAATTATTATTATTATTGTTATTATTAGGCGGCCCATTATAATTCGGCTATTATCAAATTGCCCCGCTTTTTCATTTAGCACTGTATTTCACACACACGCGTGCGCAAATGAGGAGCCTGTAGCCGGTGAAGGATTCTCCAACCACAAACACAGACACATATCGTCTGCTG